GGAGGAGCCGGCCCCGGGGGCTGGGGGTGCTGGTGCTGGTGCACGTGGGGGAACCCGAGGGCGGAGCTCCCCTCCGCGGCGCGGGCGATGATCCCCAACTTCCCGCGAGCCGGGCCTGGGATCCCCGGAGAGGCAGCCGCAGCTGCACCTCCGAATGCTGCTGGGCGCGCGCCCTGAGCTCCGAGGGCTTCCGCGGGGTCCCGGGTGTCCGGGGGACCGGCCCGCGCTCCGCCCGGCCTCTCCCCCCCCTCGAGGTCTGGGGGCGGCGGCTCGGGACGTCCCGACGCAACTCTCGGCCGGAGCCAGAGACTCGAGAATTGCGTTTGGACAATCAGGAGCCGCGGCCCGGGGCGGGGAGGGAGGCGCACCGGAGGCACCCGGGATGGAGACGCCACGCGGAAGCGGGGATACCAGATGGACACCTCCCCCGCCCCGTAGGGGAGTCGGGGGACACAAGAGTGAAATGTGCGGCGTGGGAAAGTGGGCAGAGCCCCTCCGGGAGGGACTCGGAGCGAAGGAAGCGGACGGGGAGAAGAGGAAGGAGCAGGGCCATCCCGGTGGAGGGCAGGGAACGAGGGGCAGGGGGACGAGACCGTGACGGGCGCTCGGTCCCCCGCCAGCCTGCGCTGCGGCTGCCAGGGGGTGGCCTGTCTCTGGGACAAGCTAGCAGTGGGTCCCCTCGCCCGCAACCCCGGTTACCCCCTACTTCCCTGTCCTCCTTGGGTCCGTGGCCAGTCCTTATGTGGGCGCCAGAGTCGATTAGCGCGGACCCCCTCCCCTTCCTCCTCCTTCTCCCAGCCCCCTCCCTTCTGCTCGCCTCCAGCCCCTTTCATGGGCTAGTCCATTCCCCTAATCCTGGCCCCCTCCCCTAATCCCCCCCATCCGACCCCAGGCCGGCTGCGGCTATTGTAAGGTGGAGAGAAGGGAGGGGAACAGAGAAAGGAGGGGTGGGGTGGGCCACCTGTTCCAGGACCCCCTTCCAAGGCCAGACTGGACACCAGGATGGGGCCAAGAACAAATCACCCTTGGGGGCCATAAGGACCCGGGAGTGGGGGGGGCATGACTGGTGCTGCAGAGCCAATGAAAGGGGGGTGGGGACAGAATCCCCTCCCTCCGAAAAGGCCCCGAGTGTCACGCACACACAGTGACACACACTCTTTCCTCTCACACCCGGCGGCGGGGGTTGCCCTGGGAGACCAGGCAGTGAAAGGGAGCAATCCTTCGCAGAGGGGAGAGAGGGGGGAGGTGGGGAAGGGTCTGAGGGCTTGGACACAAGAAGAACCGGAGGTGGCAGGGAAGAGGATTTGGAATTTATTAGGGTCACAAGCACCCCTGCCTTCCATATTCAGCCTGAGCCACACACTACCACCCCCTTTGTAGCCTGGGAACTCGGCGTCCTCATCAGCAGGAGGCCAGGCTGCGCTGGGGGAGCGAGCAGAGTCCAGCTTCCATGAGGCAGTCACATGAAAAGACCTCCTGAGGGGCAGAAGCATCGGGACAGGTGCATGGGCGGAGAGGTGTATGGGTAGGCAGCCACTTCCGTGCCCGGCCTAGAGAAGGGACCTCTGCCCTCCAGGCTGCAGGGTCCCCCCATTTTCTCAGTCTGGGTTGTGCTTTTCTGTCCGCCCTCCCCACGGAGGCCTCATACCAGTGACTTCCACTGAGGCCCCTGTGATGTATCCACTGTCTTCAGATGCCAAGAACGCAACCACATCTGCCACATCTATGGGGGCGGTGGGGGAGGGGCAGCCTCAGTTCCTCAGCTCCAGAGTGGCTCTGCTCCCGCAAAACCCCAGGCCCACACCAATCACGAATCCCTATGAGACCCTTTCAAAAATATTACAGATTTAAGGATCTCTTCAAGTTCCCGCCTCAGAGCCTTCTCCCAGCCCATGCTCACCCTCAGGGTCCCCCATGTGTCCCAACGGGATCATTGCAGTCACCTGTAAGGAAACACTCCTGTGGCTGAAAGTTTCTTTTATGGACTTTTTTCTTCTTACTTTCTTCGTCCCTCGTTAAGTTCATGTCTGGAATACTAACTGTTTGCACTATGCCCAGCAATCTCCCTCAACGGCCTCCTCTGATGGCCTCCACCCACAGCCTACCTTGTCCTTCACTTTCTCGGGCATTTTCTGGGTCATGGGCGTTGCAATGAACCCTGGGAGGACTGAGTTACATCGGATCCCATGTCTGTGGGAGGAAGAATGGATGCTGACCCTGGGAAGGACACTGACCCCCCTCCCTCAGCAGGGTGCCCACGGTCTGACCCACCGTCCCAGCTCGCGGGCCGCAGTCTGGGTGAGCCCAATCACTCCCGCTTTGGAGGATGCATAATTTGTTTGTCCAATATTCCCGACCTGTGGTGAGTCAGAGACCCAGGGTGAGTCAGGAGTCCCCCAAGGGCGTCGCTTCCCAGTGCCCACGTGGCTAGCTGCCCTGGCCCAACTCAACCTGACCTTTCCAATGATGCTACTGATGTTGATGATGGAGCCACGACAGCCGCTGGACACCAAAGCCTGGGCTGCAGCCTGAGTGACCAGGAAGGTGCCCTGGCACGAGAGGGGAACAAGGATAGCGGAATCAGCTGGGGTGGCAGCCCTCCTCCTTCCCCAGGTTGGGGGGCGGCACAAGTCGCCGGTTCAGAGGTCACCACCTTGAGGTTGACAGCTATGACTCTGTCCCAGTCTTCCTCTGACATGTGGAGCAGAAACTCATCGCGTGTGATGCCCGCACAGGACACAACGACAGATGGCGGGCGAGAAAAGCAGGCCTACGGGAGGGAGGGGGGAGCTAACTCCACGGACCACAAAGGGCCGGGCCGAGGGGCCGTGCGGCGCGGTGCGTGGTTCACCTGCACTTGCTCCAGCAGGCGCCTGGCCGCGGGGGCCCGCGACACGTCCGCCTGGAAGGCAGCGTGCTTCCCGCGCGGCGCCCCGTCCTCGCGGCCCGGGCCGCCCAGCAGCCGCACGGTGTCCTGTGCGGCTGCCCCATCCAGGTCGCAGGCGGCCACGGCGGCGCCCTCTTCCGCCAGGCGCACGCTGATCGCACGGCCGATGCCGCTGCCCGCACCTGAGATGGGAGAGGCGGGAGACGGGCGAGTTCAGAGGTCACGGGGCACAAAGTTACCCAAACTCAGACCAGCGGGCCGGGCCCCCCGGCTGGCGCTCGTAGACGTGGCCCCGGGCCCCACCCGCCCTGGGAGGGACCCCTGAACCTGTGACCAGGGCCAGCGCGGAGCGGAGCCGGAGCTGAGACGCCATGGTGGTGGGGTGGGCGGGCCCGAGCCCAAGCCAATCCCAGCACCCCGGGGGCGTGGCGAGGGCCGGGCCGGGCCAATGGAAACCCTGCTAGTCAGGGGCCCTGGGCGGCCACCAGCCCAGACGACCTCCCACTGCGGGGGCGTGGCCACCCCACCCCCGGGGACCTGGGGAGACACGGAGACAAGGGCCCCCTCCCCCCCAAAACAAAGACTGCATGTGGGCAGAAGATCCAAGTACTTTATTTCTGGTCGCCGGTCCTCCCTACCCATTCAAACAGTGATATAAAAGGAATAGAAACAAAAATAAATCAGGCCGTGAGATTTTACCAAGGGACACTCTCCCACCCTACTTCCAAATCAGGACACACGATTGCTGTCTACCCCGATCCTGCCAGGTCTTCCCCGAAGCCACCACTAGCCAGTTCAGAGGGAGCTGGACCCTGTGTGGCATGCTGGTGCTGGGAAAACAAGTAAGGTGGGGACCACCAGGCTACTGTCACCCCAGGCTTCATGGCCCATTTATTCCTCCAAAGCCGACAATACTGTCGGGCAGTGTCCAACTTTGGTCCCTCTGACCTCCTGCTCTGTATGACTGCCACACCTTCACACCCAAAGCATCCTTCTCCCAGGCTAAAGCTCCTTCCTCTGGCAAGTAACACTTGCCAGGGCTCCAGCTGTCTTTATTTGGGAGCTAGGGGGAGAGCTGGGGCAGGGGCAGGACAGATCACCCCACCCCTCACTCAAGGTGGGCAATCAGTACCATCATGACAACTCCCCCCAGCAGCCCCAGCACCTCCAAAAGTGACTGTAATGGGGACGCCTCTCTCAACAGCTCAGGCAACACGGACACTGTTGCTACGTAGATGAAACCGCCTGCGGTGAACGGCAGAACCCAGCCAGGGCCCGCACCACCCGCCACTTCACTGCCCACTGCCCCTCCTTCGGTGAGAAGGGCACATGCTGTGCCTGCCAGAGCTCCTACTGCAGTCAGGAGTTGCAGCCGCATCGCCTGGTGGGCAGAAAAGAGAAAGGAGGCATGATCACCAACAGCTAAGGATCAGGAGTGACCGTGGGTACAGCTGCACCGGTGTCCACGGTTCTGGAAAGGGGGAAGCGAGGTGAGCGGCGGGGAGATGGCAGCATTGGTGTTTGCTGCACAAGCTTGATGGCGGGATTCCGGATCCCAGGCACCTCGCAGAAAGGCAGGCTCGGTGGAGGTGTTTGCAATCCCAGCACGGGAGCAGAGGCAGGGCTCCCTGGCCAGCACACAGCCCAACCAACCAGTGAGGCTCTGCCTCAGGAACCACACCCGAGACCCCCAGCCCCAAAGAGCCAGGTAAGAAGGTTGAGAGCACCGGAACAGACGTGCCCCTTCCAGGCTGTGCGTCAGGCTGTTGTAGGAGGGTCACAGTGCAACAACACAGAGCAGAGGTAAAGGAAACAACCAGCCCCACTTCTAGAAGCCCTGATGGTGGTGTGTCTCGTTCAGAACTGATGACAGGCAGTCGGCACCAACCTGTTTTTTGCTGCAGCCAGACTGGACCAAGATGGCAAAGTCTCCGACCTCGTGAGGCACTTCATGTAGCAGGACCGTCATCGTGGTCAGGATCCCCAGCCCTCGGCCCCCACGAAAGGAGGCACCGATGGCCAAACCATCCGTGAAGTTGTGTGCCAAGTCTGCAGCCAGATTCAGGTACCCGGACACCCGCAGGTCTTTTGCAAAGAGACAAGACAAAATGATCGACGGCACCCACCACCCCCGGGCCCAGTGCCGCCTCACAGACACCCCTCAGGGTTTTCTGGATAGCGCCATCACCAGCACTCTGTGAGATTCAGTGACCCCGCCCACTCATCCCTTACCTGAACCTGCTTTTTCTTCTTCCTCGGGGTTCTGAGGCTTCACGGGCCCGTCTCTGGGCCCTGGGTTTCCTCCTCTCCTCTTCCGCAAAGCCCCTGCTTCCTTTTCCTCTTCCTCTGAGCTGGGCTTTTCCTTTGAAGGACACTCTGGGGGAGAACAGGGGTTCATCAGAGTGGGGGACAGAGCTTTTGATGTGTCCTCCACAGGAAGCCTGCTCCACCGCATGAGCCCGAATGTATTCTGTGGAAGGCACGGTAAGGCTCACCCTGTCTTCCATGTCCTCGGCTCCCGTGTGTGTGACCGTCTCCGTGTCCATGGCTGTGGCTGTGTCCGTGTCCTCCTTTCACATGCCTCACAAACTTCTCCACCACAAGGAAGGCGACGATGCCACTGAGCACCCACAGCCCCACAGAGAGAATGGGGCCCTGGCCTGGGAACAGAGGCAGTGAAGCGTGAGAGGAGACGCAGACTCCGGACTCCTCCCCGGGTGTCAGGTGAGCGCCCCCAGCATCCCAACCCCTGTCCCCATGGCTTTCTCACCACTGTGGGAGTGTCCATGTCCAGGCTGCTCCAGAGTGTGGTGAGAATGAGGTTCTGCGGGAAGTAGGAAAAAAGGGAGTGTTTTGGAACAATGGATGTGTGTTTGAGGACTACTGGAGAGCCCGGGATCACAAAGAGGAAGAACCCCCCTTTCCTTCTAAAGAATCACAACCAGCTGAAGCGTTTGTGGGTCGTCAGAAAGTTAACTTACCCAGAGCGTGAGGGATAAGGTGCAGGAAGGCATCACCCAGGAGCCCCCCGGAGGCAAAACTGAGCAAGATCTGGAGCAGAGAGCGATGCCTGGGCGAGTTTGACTCCACTGGGATGAGGAACAGCACGAAGAACGGAGCCGCAGAGATCAGCACCGTGGCCCCCAGAGCCTGGGGAAGGAGTCAGGAGTCAGACACCGAGTCTTCCAATGATTCAGAACCGGTCCCTCTTCCCCACATCCCCCGGGGACTCACATAGGCCCAAAGGGTGACAGTGTCCAGCTGGTGCTTGATGCCTGGAGCCCCGGCCTCCCTAGAGGCTCCGTGGCTATGTTCATGGGCATGTCCGTGTCCTCCGTGGTGCAGGCTACCCGGGGAGTGGCCATGGCTATGGCCATGGTGCAAATCCTCGTGGGAATGTTCATGCTCGTGGCTGTGGGCATGCCCATGCCAGATGCTCTCATGAGTGTGGCCGTGGCCGTGGGCATGGCTGTGTCCGTGGTGGAAATCCTCGTGCGAGTGCCCGTGGCCCTGCAAGTCCTCTTCCACGTCTCTGTGCGGGTCACCACGACCCCCGTGGCCGGCCACCAGCAGCCCCCAAGCCGCCCAGGTCAGCAGTCCCACAGCCACCCAGTGGGGGGCCCGTGGGGCCATCGCGCCGACCGGAGGGGCAGAGACCACTCAGCTCCTCCTCCGCGGGGCCCGCTGCGCTCCACTCGTGCCCCCCGTGTCCCCCTCGGCGTGGCCCGCGGCCCTCTTACATTGTTCCCGGGGCGGGCTCTCTATCCCCCAACTCCCTACCCGGATGCAGGCGCCCCCCTCCCGCTCCCGCCGCCCCGACACCGCTCTAGCCTTCGGTCCGCCACTTGGCGGTCGCTCTGGGCCCGCGTCTCTATGACCCACAAGTTGGGGGGGAGCAGCCCGGGAAGCACCGTAAGGGAGCAGCGGGCCGCGCTGCTCACCGGCGCCCGGGATCCGCTCCGTCCTCGGTGCGCGGAGACGTGGCAGTCACGCCTCGAGCTCCCGCGAGATCAGGAGGAAGTTCCTCTCCGGCCTGCACCCCGCTGCCCTTTACCAACATGGCGGCGCCCCGGCGACGGCGC